TTATAAATGTTTCGTGTTTAAAACTCGATACAATTAGTTCGTTTCAGAATAGTAGATATCTCCTAGTAATAGAAATAAATAAATCATATAAGACTAAAAAATAATTGAGTATCATATATTTTTCTATAAAATCTACAAAACATTTAAGAACGACGGGACGCGAACGATGTCGTGGGTAACAGCTAATTGGAGGATTTTGCAGACATAAAAAAAATATAATTTAGCAACATAATTATTACATCATTGGTCGCTCGAAGAATTATATTATTATTAATATCAATCAAGGAGTTAACATCTCCTGATGCCGTCCACACGTGACGGCGAAACGTCGAGAACCTCTTCTCGGTCACGGCGGCCGAACAGCCCGAAAGACAATGATATGATGAACGATGGCCGTGAAAGTCTTACACAATTGATCATAATTATTATTTATTTTAGCAAATAACTAATCCACGCGGACGATGTCGCGGGCACAACTAGTTTAACATGACTAACAGGCTGTCACTTCGTCTTATTGCGTATTCTCTTGTCCTGTATTCAAAAAGTGACGCCTCAAAGTTTAGTTTTAGTGTCAAGGTTGGGTTCAATCGCCTCGATTCTATTTTCGTCGGCCATTTTGTACGCCATCTTGAATTTCCTTTGTCGGTATATTTATTGCAATAAAATGCATCGTATAAGACATGCACTAAGAACATTCAGGATTCCCATCCTTTTGACTTTTTGAATTACTAGGACAACTTACTTAACCTGGCAACCCAAAGGCAAATGAGTCAAAAATATTAAAGATATGTAATTAAAAATAATAATAACAATTCCCCCCCTGACCACGGCTGTTGCAAAGCATCCGAAACGTCAGTTTGTAATAAAAAGTTACCTATTTACCTATATATTTCGCGTTTTATACCGTTAAAAGTGTTTTCTAACCGTTGCGACCAATTTGAACGAAGTAACCGTGGAAAAACTGGTATAAAACATTGTGCATTCCCGCGGCGTGCGCTGCAAAAACAGTTTGAGATACCGAAAAATATTTTTGAAAGAATAATTCCTCTTTGAATCATCTAAAAATCGCGTTAACTATTAACCAAGTACGCGGGAGGAAAGTCGCGGGCACAGTTAGTTAAATATATGTTGCAACAACAAATTTTGATGCCCAATATTATACCACGCGAAAACCCCAGGCACAGTTAGTTAAATACACTTATACCACCACTTACTCCAACCTCACCTTAAACTAACAGTTTACTATGGCAACGGAGAATTAATTGGCAGACAGTTTGAAGACACGACGTCTGCGGTGACCTTGTTAAAACGAATATCGAATCATTAAAATAGATATTAATATGTTTACATCAACAATAATTTCATAATATTTTCTGAGTATCTAAACTTCCGTATCCCCGGCATAGAGAACGCGCATTCACAATATTCCATAATAGCTGAACGGATAGTAAAACCTAGAACCGCGACTTCGTCCACGTGAAATAGTTATTTGGGTATAAAAATTTGTTTCTTGCAAACCTCCTAAATCATAGGTGTTTCCCATGACGTCGTCCTCGTCTTATCGCTCTTGAAAGTTAGTCTAAAAAGATATACTGTTGCGGACATTTTTTTAATATAAAGATAAATCATTCTTTAATAACTATTTTTTGGGTATCTTGACCCTTTTTCGCAGCGTATGCAATGAAAACCCACAACGATGAATATTTTTCCCCGTTTTTTCATTTCTTAGTTCCCATTCGTCGCATCGTAAAGTTTTAAAGCCTTCGTCGATATGTTTTAACTAACAAAACAATATTTCAATACGAACCAGTATTTTCTGAACAACTAAAAAACAAACTCTTCAGCTTTATATATTTGTGTAGGCTTATTTTGCAGTATACTTCTAGTAACTTAGAGAGAAAGGAAAAGTATTTTTTTATTTAAAAAAAAACAAAGTTTTAAACAAGCGTAAAATTTAAAATAACTTACTAATAATGTATTTTGTCAACGCATTTTTAAATAAGTCGTAAAGGATGCAAATATTTTTAACACATTTTGTTATATTATTAGCGTGGGTCGTTTGTCGATTGACGTTCTTGGAAGCAATAATTTATTATCTGTACATGTTTGACAGATGACAACGCATCTGTCATCGATTAAGAATTTGGCGGTAAAATATTTTTATCGATGTCTACGGAGTTTACTAGTGAGTTTTGGATTAAATTGATTTGTTTTCGTTATGTTTTTCCGAGGAAACACTACTTTATAACGTTGGTTGGATTGTGCCTTCCTGAACCGAAATAATAATCCGTAAGAATAGATATATTGCGCACGACTATAGATCAAACGCTTTCTTCGTGTCACTCTTTTTTTTTCTCCTTACAAACGTAGATACATAATATATTGGACACCATACCACTAGACAAACAGTTTTTAATAAAGTTTAGCTTTATTATTATAACATGGAAAATTTTGACGTACTTGTTCATCGGATCACGGGTTCGATCCCCACCGGATACAACATGTTTTCTAATCAAATACTGTCTATAGTTTACGCGAGTAGTACACATTTAAATAAAACACTTTAACGGTTTAAAACGCGATGTATTACAACTTATTTGAAAATGATTGCCAGTTTCGCCAAATACCAACATGGACGGAAGAGATGGTAGCAATTTTTTACTTTGACGTCAGAGACATCTTCCCCGTGACCACCTGCTCCAAAGCATCCGAAACGTCGGGCCGAAGTTAAAAACCATTTCCAAAACGTTTAACTAACATATCGCGTTGTAAACCGTTAAAACGTTTTATTTAAATATTTCTAATCAATTTATAAGTTTACTGAGTCATATTGGACTGCGTTCTGAAATCTTGATATTAAATGAGTGGTAGGAATATAGAATTCCGTCCGAGTAACGAACCATGGTCCACAGAAAAAAAGGGCGTCAAGTTTAATAGTTATCTGCCAGTGGAGTCCGAATATCCAAAACTAATAGCGCGTCTTTCTTAAATGTTATATGGCTGTGGTGGTTCACCTACCATCAAGTGAACTTCAAGCTTGTCTATCCTCCTCTATCATAAAAAAGACCAGCTGATGTTACCCACGTGTGCTGTGAATGGCAATTGGCCAAGCTTAGCGCGGGAGCCAAGACAAGGTGATCTCTGACATCACCGGGATTTCTCTGAACGTCTTTGTTGTCACTATCAAAATATAAGGAAGTACCTACCAGAAAAGGTACAAACCGATTTGTAGCTTCCACGAGTAGCAAACATTCAAATTTAACACTCTTAACTGTTTAAAACGCGATATATATTAGACAACGTATGTTTAACTACGACCTGACATTTGGGATCCTTTGCAGCAGTCGTTGTCTTATTTATATATAACTTATAAAACCATTAAAATATTTTATTCAGATATAATTTTTGAAATTAAAATTTACATTAACAGAGTACAGTTTTTTTCATATCTGGGACAATCAGACATGCAAAATAGAACGACCTTCTTATATATACTGTGTTTACTTTCAATATTTTTTTCAAACATTATATGAGTGTTGAAAGGGCTATTAATTAATAAAAATGCAGTAAACACGAGACGTCACATAACTCTAGTTCGTAGTCATTTCGTAGCTACGTAGTATGTTCGTAGCATTGTGGTAGAATCGTAGCAAATTGTAAGTTGGTATAGTCTGTAGATATTGAATGTTTCGGCTTGCGCATGCGCATTTGGATATAAGAGACTAAATACTGTCTTTAGTTTACGAGTGTAGTACAAAATTATTCTTTGGTCTCCCCGTGACCACGACTGCTGCGAAAGCATGGTTAAAAATCATTTTAAAATAAGTTTAACTAATATATCGCGTTTTAAACTGTCAAACTGTTTTATTTAAATATAAGAGACTAGCTAACCTGACAAACCTTTGCCGTATGAATTATTTCGACTAAATTACCATAAAAACGGTTCTTGTGAGTTAATCTGAAAAAAAGAGACAAACCGTCGCGGCCATTTTTTTAGGGTTTTTAAAGAAGAAGAATTCTGTCATATTCTATATTATATGTAACCTTTTGCAGCGCACGGAATGTTTCCTGTCCTAAGGCCTTCCTCGATAAATGGTCTAACCAACACTAAAATATTTTATTAAATCTACCGTATAGTTCCTGAGGTTAGGGCGTTCAAAGAAACGGACCAACTCTTCAGCTTTATAATATTAGTGTAGATAGAGTTTTTTAAATTTCTACAATTATTTCCACATTACAGAAAATTCACATTGTACTAGAACAAAATATGGATGTTGTTCTGATTCTACACAAACAAAACGCATTTACTTCCAATAACAAACGTGTGTAAACAGAACCACGTGGCGCCATCTATTTAACCAAAATAAACCCAAGGTCGTCGGCCTTTCGTCGAGAGAAAACGACCTTTACTAATAGTACATATATGTGGATCTCTTCGTGGATATTTTGGCGAATTTCCATATATGTTTATTATTTACTAGCTGTGTCCGCGACTTGCTGCGTGGAAAAGTAATTTTGGGTATCATAGTATAAAATACTGTCTGTAATTTACCGAGGAACACTTAAATAAAACACTTTAACTGTTTAAAACGTGATATATATTAGAAACTAATTTATATCTATACCTATGACTCCTTACCTTTTTGCATTATAGCTGTTACCCATGACGTCGCCCGCGTCCCGTCGTTCTTGCGGGTTAATCTTAAAACATATAATTATATAATATATAATGTCGCGGGCATATTTTTATATTATTAAAAAAACATTTCTCCATAACCTCCTTTTCTTAAGTTGGTTAAAAACAAAATTAAAAATATATCAAAAGAATATACATAAAATACGAGCGGCCTTATTACTAAAAACATTCTCATCCAGACAACCCTATCTTTCGTTGAGTTGTAGGTGTTTTGCAAGTCTTTAGGTCGACTTTCAGTCGCACTGTGTACAGTGCCCTCCAAATTTTTAGGCCGCGCTAAAGCTAGCGCGGATGGTTGCGCAATATGGCGGCCGAAAAGATTGGAGGGAACGGTACGTGTACGCCCTAATACCTGCCCAATAAGCCACGTGGAATATCTTCACGTAGAAATGTACATGTGTAACAACACATGTGACATAACTGCGTAAATTGTTACATGTCGTTGCACCATAACATGTGTGAAACGCGATTAGTTGTTTACAATTTAAACAATGTAATAAATAGACCTATCCAATTATAAAAGTCCGTTTCTTTTTGGGGCCCCTCGGAGCTCCATGGTCCTTCTATCCGTATTCAGTATCCGTTTCTTATTGGTGATGATTAAATAAAACACTTTAACGGTTTAAAAACGCCGACAACGACGCAACAGATGGCGCTAGTGTAGCAGTTTTTTGCTTTGACGTCAGAGACACCCTCCATCTGTAGTCTACCTGTGACCACGGCTGCTGCAGAGCATCCGAAACGTCGGGCCGTAGTTAAATAATTTTCAAATAAGTTTAACTAACGTATATCGCGTTTTAAACCTTCAAACTGTTTTATTGAAATAAGCAAGTAAAGGATTAAACTTCTGTGCCTTGTACGACCGAAAAAAATATACTTGCGCTAGTGTTGAACGCATTTAAACATGAAGTAAATTGCAGCTTTAAATTATTATTATTTAAAAATGATTTAGTAAAACATCTCTCTTTTAAGTAACAGTTTTGACTATTAGGAAGATAAAATGTTAATTTTTAAATGAAAAGGAATCGAACGTATGAAAAACAATTTGTGATTTTCTTGACGTGATGTCGAATCCGGTTCGTGTCATCGATTTTCTTAATATAAATTAAATTTTTAATAATTTATTTTTTTCAGTAAAAATGCCTTCTGAAGTGACTGATAAGTCGCTCCAGCGAGAATTAGCTGATTCCATCATCCGTATGGCACCATTAGATGAAATACGGATTCTGCTTGCTTGTGGAGCCAAGGTAATCGCATTTTACATCATGAGAGACGTACTTCTGTGTCCGTTTCGATGATGGGATTATTTTATTTTATTGCATGCATTCTCCTATCTCATCGACTCTACATACTTTTTAATTGTTCCTTAGTTTATATCTTCCGTAAATAAAGGTTGCCTAAAAGTAATCTTCATGGGCAATATGCACTAACTATAAAAAAAAGATTATTAGTTTAGTTTAGTTAAAGTAAATAAGTAATTCCTTGTTACTATTTGATTGAAATAATACATCTGAAAGTAAATTTGAAATCTTGTCTACTGTGTACTGTGTTGACGTTCATAGCCTATCTTTAGAATACTTTAACGGTTAAGAGCGCGATATATATTAAACTAATTTACAAAATTATTATAAATAAGGGCCGATGGTAAGGATGCTTTGCAGCAGCCGTGGTCACGAGGAGACATTAAGGAATATCTAATTCACAAATAAGTAACTAATATATTTCGTGTTTTAAACCGTTAAAGTGTTTATATAAATGTGAACAACTTGCGTAAACTACAGATAGTATTTTCACGCTTGGGCTTCAGTTGATGGAAGGTAAAATACCTGAGCCATATAATATTTTAACAAGATGTGTTGTCGATCTATTTTGGAATTTCGGAAATTCACAAACGAACGTTTTACGACTTTTTCATATGTGGACGATGGTTCGTGATCAGGACGGAATTTCGATATTCCTACCTCTTTAATATCCAGATTTCCAGACGTCCAAATATGTTGGACCAGGTGGCGATCGAACATACATTGCTACCATTACACAAAGCGCGTCTAAAATATCTACTTAAAACTTACTTCTGTTTGACTATACGTACACCTTCTGGTCGAACAGGTAAACGAACCTGTTACTCAAGGTCTGCGGCCCTTGCACTATGCTATCTGGCAAAGATACCTGGAGGCGACGAGACTTCTCCTGGTACGAGGGTGTGATATAAACGCCACAGACGATTGTGGGTACAGCGCCCTCCATTTGTCTGCAGAGCATGGGTTAGTCGAGCCTTTAAGTGTCTTTTAGAGGAATTTGATAATTTTATCAATAATTAGTAAATATAATTAATAGTTATCTATACTAATATATAAAGCTGAAGAGTTTGTTTGTTTGAACTTCGAATTGCAAATTATTTTGTGTTTGTTAGAGCATTTATCGAGGAAGGTTATAGGCTAATAGGAGCGTGAACAGGGGGAGAAGTGGAGAATTTGGGAAAATTATACATCTCTCTGGGTTTCCGTTGTGTACGCTGCGTAAACGGTTCAAGATACCAAAAATATATATAAGAATGATGATTCCTCGATAATATTAACTTGCAAGAACGACAGCACACGACCTACGTCGTAGGCGATAGCTTATATCTATTAAGTTGAAGTAGAGGTTTGCAAAAACAAATGTTGAAGCCCAAAGTGACTTTTCTACGCGGACAAAGTCGCTGACACGATACGATACGAGCGAAATAATAGTAGTTGATTATTTTGTCCCTAAGATTGCTTTTCAGAAACTATGGTGACGAATTATGAGACAATATTATTTTGCGTTTTAACCCGTTAAAAGTGTTTTACATGAGATACAGTAAATTACAAAAATAGCATTATCAACAATTATATAACATTAAGATCGAAAATTACTTTTATAATCTATAGAACATATAATCTTTAAAAAGCTGCATAGGTGGATATCGAACCTGACGCACGTGCCTGTGTGTAGTTAATTAAAGCGCTACACATTTGAATTGAACAATTGACTTGAGTTATTTTTACAGTTGAAAATAGTTAAATATTTACTAATATATATTACGCATTTTAACCGTTGAAAATGTTAATTAAATCGATAATTACGTGCAGATACACGGAGCTCGTGAAGCTTTTGCTTGAAAGCGGTGCTGCTGTCGATTACAGACCTGATACGGGTGAAGAATTTCCCCGCACAACCCTCTGTGATGAACCGCTGAGACTCGCAATACGAAACAAACATTATGTAAGTGTAAAACTTAAAAATTACGTTTTTTTAATGATAGAGCAGGACAGACAAGCCTGGGGTTCTAAGCAAGGTGCGCTGTCGACCCATTTTGGCTTTGGATATTCGGAAATCTACAGGCTGAAACCGAAATGGGATTAAACTTCACAACTTTTTCATCTGTAGGTAGATGGTAATTCGTGACCCGGACGGAATTTTGATATTAACCGTTTAATATCCACTTCCAGTGGTTAATAATAATAAAAACGATTGCACAAACACAGACATAAGAACATAGATACTTAGAATTGTATATACAAAATAAAACATGTTTGTGCAAAGCCGGCCTTATCGCCTATGGCGATTTCTTCAGGCAACCTTTGCATGTAGAAATACGAAATAAAAATAAAAGGATAATTTTAGTAAACAATCAAATGTCAACATGAAAAGTAAAATTATACAATAGAAAGATAATTTAAACTGGAAGTTAAAATATTAAAGCTAAACATATTTTTTTTTTAATAAGTTTAATTATATATTTGGCGTTTTAAATGGTTAACGTGTGTTGCGGACAACGCCATCTATATGTTCATTAATACTATTATTAGTTCCGTCTCGGAAAATAAATCACTCACTCACTTTGCAAGCCTCGTACCTTGCAGTGGTATTTCACTCAAGTATCCACAATTCTAAGATTTGATCCTTCGAGCCGTGTTTTAGTTAAGTAATTTCTTTTTATTTACATACAGGCTGTGGCTCGTCTGCTGTTGGAGCACGGTGCAGATCCCAACAAGCGGTACTTCTTCGGTTCAGAGATCAACCTCGTTTCGGACCCTGAATATCTGGAGCTGCTTCTCATGTTCGGAGCCAACCCTGACTCTAGAGACAGAGCCGGACTGACACCGCTGATGAAAGCAGCAAGGCAGCGAAATGTTAGTTTTTTTAATGATAGAGAAAACAGACAAGCATGGGGATCGCTTATGGTAGATACCCCAGACCAGACCCCAGTCTATAGTATTTTAAAAAGATGTGTTCTCGACCTATTTTCGGCTATGGATATTCGGACCTCCACAGACAAACATTTCATCTGTGGACGGTGGCTCGTGACCTGGATGAAATTTAGATATTCCTACCACCACATCCCACCATATTAAATTTAATATCCAGACTTCCAGACGAAGTCAGAAAAATTATATACGTAACATGTTTCAGAAAGATTATAAATGTATTTTTTTTTTCAGGGAATCGAATCTGTTCTGCTGCTACTCAGCTATGGGGCCGACATCAATGCTATGGCAGATGCAAGAAATGATTATAGAACCGTTATGCATTACGCTGTTTTAAGTGGTAAATATATGAATAAGTACTGTCTGTAGTCAACGGGTGTACTAAGGTTTTAAAATCATTAGAAACGTCGGAACGTATTTTAAGTAAATTATAAAGAAGTTAACTAATATGTTTCACGTTTTAAACCGTTCAAAGTGCTTAATTTAAAATACATGACTAATTTATTAACTTACCACGCTTAGTAAAGGGTTACATTTATTTCAAAAAAAGGTTACTGTTGCTTGGTTTCATGTACTAGCTGTTAGCCCTGAAAGATAAATAAGAGAAATAATTTCCCCAGTTCTCCACATTTTCCACTGACTATTCGCTTCGCGAATTGGTCGCAGCGAGATTTTATATAGCCTAAAGCGTTTCTCGATAAATAGTCTTACAAAAACAAATCTTTCGATTCGAACCAGTAGTTCCTGAAATTTCAAGCCAACGACCAAACAAACGTCTTCAGATTTAAATAAAACACTTTAACGGTTTAAAACGCGATATACGCGTTCTCCTCGTGACCACGGTTGCTGCTAATCATCCGGAACGTCGGGCCGTAGTTAAAGTAATTTTCAAATAAGTTTAACTTATATATAACGCGTTATAAACCGTTAAGTGTCTTAATGTGTATTACTCGCGTAAACTACAAACAGTATTAAAGCTTAATAAAATTGGTAAACATTTAATTAAAATGCAATAAATTTTTTGTCACAGGCAACACTGACGTTGTGAATCTATTGATGAAGCAAGGGGCTCGAGTGAACTACGAGAGCCCTGACCTGAACAAACCTTCGCCCGTGGATCTCGTCATTTTGAAGGGAGATGTGGACATGTTGCAGATGTTACTTAAAGCCGGTAAGCTAAGTGACTAGGTTATTAAAAATATTGTTTTAGAGAACAACGGCCAAATTGCACCTGACGGCGACCAGATATGTGTTGTATATCGAAAAATCCGTTAATTTTAAAGTAGGAAATATTATAACTCATAATAAAGCCAGGAAAAAGATATTAGGAGATTTCTTTAATATGTTAGTACAAAAACTATCGTTAGAGTTCGCATATCGAATTTATCGTAAAATAACGTTAATTTTAGATTTCAAAATTTAGTTAAACATTGATTATTTATATTTATTTATTGTTTTTTTGCTTTTTATATGTAACGAGCAAGGAAATTCGGAAATGATCATAATACGTTTAGTATTATGATCATTTCCGAATGTCCAAAGCCAAATTAGGTCTTTTTCTAAACTATTTCTTACGGAACCCATCTTCAGCGAGTCAAACTCACACTTGGCCACGTTTATTCACATAACATTTTTTTTCAGGTGCGTCTGTCAACGCATCGAGCTCAGTAATCGGCACTCCGTTACATGTAGCGTGCTCCGATAATATTATTAACAGAAAGGAAATGATTGAAGTAAGCATACCTTGGTATTAGTTGTCTATCAGCAAACTAATATAAAACAATTTAACATTGTATCATAGCTTTTCGGTCGACGTGAGCGAGAAGACGTTCTCGAAGTTCCGCCATCAAGAGCGGACGGCATCAGATTCTTCGAGCAAACGAGGAGCTTACGTCTCCTGATGATGCAACCCACTCGTAATGGCAAAAGTCGAGAACCTCTTCTCGGTCACGTCAGCCGAACAGCCCGAAAAACAATGATAAGCCAAATTGTAACATTATCTTCAACATGTTTTATTCTTACTTTTATACTTATCTTAATATTTAATTATAAAGAAATTTGATTTAAGTATCGTCTCTAGTTTACGAAAGTAGTACCTACACATTTAAGTAATACACTTTTAACGGTTTAAAACGCGAAATATATAAATGTATTTATTTTAAGAACGACGCCGAACTGACTAGTTCTTAGGGGGCTGTAGTACAAGGTAAAAATACGGGTAGTAATTTATTTCACGTTTTAAACCGTTAAAAGTGTTTTATTTAAATGTGTACAACCTACGTAAACTATAGACGATGCTTAGATAAAACTTCTTTATCATTATAATTTTACATACATGCAAGAGGATTTCACGGGTTCACATTGCGAAAAGAATTGAGATTGTTCAGTAAGTATATTTTGATATTCTTACAGATTCTTCTAGAAAACGGAGCAGATCCAAATCAGAAGGTATATAATGAAGATGACGGCGCACAACTCAGACCAGCTCTGGCGGAGTACCTGGCCAGCAGCATGACCCTGGATGTAGAAATAGTACACGCCCTGTTGAAACGAGGAGCCAGGGTATGTTAAAAAAAATTAAAATGATGGTTTTTAAATCCATGTTTTAAATCCAATAAATCCATGTTTTATTTGAACCAGAGACTAAATATTTAAAAAGCATTTTTAACTGGCAACAACAATAAAATGGCGGAACGTAATTAGTATATTCCTGACAGTTTGTCACTAGACATTTTTGTTCCAGGTGATAATGAAAACACAATTCCGTGATCCCGATGGTATACTCAACCACCTCCAGAACGCTGCATTAGAAGAGAACCAGCACATCTACTATCTCCTTCTCAACGCTGCGGAGTCCTTCGATCTTTGCATGATAAAAAGAACACATCTTCTATCGCCCATGCAAAAAGAGGCTTTAATAAAACGCGCTAAAACTCCAATTAGCTTACTAGCACAAGTCAGAATAACTCTACGCAAATTCTTCGGTACCAGTCTTGTGAAGGTGGTTAAGCAGTTAGAGGTTCCCCCCATTCTCCACCGCTACCTGCTTTTTGAATGTCGTTAAGAAGTAACGGTGGCTTTCGAGGCACCATTTTAGATTGTCTGTGGCCAGGTTGCCTGACATAATCTTTTTTACCCGATTTGCGGGAAATTTTGTTAACCCTACGAAAAAGTTTGCTGAATTCTGAAGCTTTTTCTGGGTAACGTCACAGCGATGACAACTTCGATAAGACCTTATCTATACTTAATATCGTAAAGAATATAAGGGTTTGTTTGTCTGTTTCTTTGAACGCTCTAATCTCAGGAACTGTTATTTTTGTATTAGTTAAACCATTTCTCTAGGTTATAACGTTGCGAGCAATACGAGCGACGAAAAAGAGGAAAATGTGGAAAAAACCGGTTAACAGTTAAATTAGTAATCTTTGAGGGTTTTGTTGCGTGTGCTGCAATAACCGGTCTAAAAAACCCAAGAAGTATGCATGAAAGAATTATTTTTCTTCAAATAATTTAAGGAAATGTCCGACATAGTATGTCATGTCTATGTTTTAAAATTAATCACAAGAATCCTTTTTATAGGAATACAATTGAGTCGAAATACTTTATATGGCACAAGAAAGATTGCCAAGTCAGCTAGTATGTAGTAGTACCTAATGAAGAAAAAATCAATTGACTATGATAATATGTGAGATTACGCGCAATAGAGAATTAAGCTTTTATAACGATTCTTTATTAAAACTATGTATGTGCATGCAGACATCTTTTATAGAACTTGTATTAAGATATAAATATTTATGACATTATTATAAGTTTTTTAAATCATTTAATTGCATACGTATTTATTTTTTTATGAAAATGAAATTACTTGTTTATTTTCAATATTATTGATATTAAAAAAGGATAATAATTTGAAAATATGATTATATTGGAAAACATAAAATAAAAATTTCTTTTATATCTTCTATGATCCAAGCAATATTATTCACAGTAATATCGTTCTAAAATCAGTCGAGTCTGATTTAAAATTGTGATATTTTGTGATATTATGTTTATTATATATTTTACCATATTTAATTAATTTGTGATGTAACAATGTAATAAAAACAAATCAAATGTTATTCTAAATGTGTCTTTATTTTATTCTACATTTCATACCATCTCCCTTATAACTTATTCGAATAAAAGTTAAATAATCACGAACTAAGCAATTATTTTCACTATTGCCCATTTAATTTAATAATGCGGAAAAACGTGTAAATTTATTTGAATACTAGTTTTGCGCACGACTTCGTTCACGTAGATTAGACACTTTATATAGCATTATTGTATAGGTACGTCAAAAAGAGATCTCAATACTGTTGTCGAGTATACACCTTATTAATGTAAATTTTATCTATAAACTATTGTCTAATTAATGTAACCCGCCCAGAAACGATGACACTCAAGCTGCATTGAAATATGAATATTAAAACGCCCTAATTAACAACTCAACCTCTACTGAATTTAATCTAAACTTATGCTACACATAATTTTATTTACAAAACCTTTATGTACTTTTTGATCTACACACATAAAAAAGATAAATCAAGATATGAAGTGCAAACAATATTGATTTGCAAACTCTACAAATAAATCAAATTAAGTTTATATAATGCCGTGCGCCTCTAGAGTTTGTGCGCTATATACACCCGCGCCTATAAACACTTAGCAAGTTTAAAGTGATTCTTTAAATAAGCATATATTTTTTAATTATATGCTACTTAATGACATAACTTAATCCCGGGAGGACTGTAAATATTTTTATTTTCTCTTGGGTAATAATCAGTCTATATAAACATTTAGTTATTTTTGTTCAGTATTCAAGCCTTCAAAATTTTATTACCTTTTCCATCTTTAGTGCACTAATATTGTCTTATTTTATATTGTTAGTGTCTCTGCAAATAATAAAGTAATTTAATTCGCCCTCTTTCGAGAACAGTTTAAACATAATTATATTACATGGCAATTCTTATTTAAGTCAATTGTCTATGTAGATATTTTAACTTGTGACAGATGACAATTTACATTAAAATGATTTTCAGATTTTGAAAACAAAGCTTACAAGCAAAGACCTATTGCAACCTGAATTAAATTTTACCTGGAAAACTTATTACGGGATTGTAAAAGTCTAAAATGGCTGACAAACAAAAAGTTGACCTCGGCTTATTAGAAGAGGACGATGAATTTGAGGAATTCCCAGCGGAAAGTAAGAACAAAGAGGTCAAACAGCATCCTTATAATTGTTGTTAAAAATATTAACTTATTACTATTTCTTGTAGATTGGGGTACTGAGGAAGCAGACGACGAAGACGTGTCGGTATGGGAGGATAACTGGGAAGATGATATTGTTCAGGATGATTTTAATCAACAGTTGAGGTTAGAATATAAAACTACTTAATTAGTTGAACTTACAACCTTAAATCTACTTTCTTTATACTCTGACTAGTATCTTAAATAATATTTTACAAACTCTATAGATATTGTAGTCCAATTTGTTTTCGTCATCATGCTTCAAAACTTTCCAACCATTTACAAATTGAGATACATGTCAATTTATATTTTTTACAGACAACAGTTGGAGAAGCTAAGGGAGCAAAACAAAGGATAGATTTAATTAATTAATTACTAATAAATAAGGCTTCATTTAAATTTTGTGTTTATTTGTAAAACTGTCCTTCTAATTTTAGTTTTAGTGTAATAAAATATAACGCCATTAATATTTTACTTTTGTAGTTGACAGTTAAATAATTGTCTCTACCAATTAATGTTTTACTAAGAGGGTTTGAAGATCTGGGACCAAACAAACTGCTTAAATGTAGGCTTTATTGACTACCACCTCCAAAATCATTAGCTGATAGCTATGGCACTTGGATGATTAACATGCTCTAAGGCATGAGAGGGTGGTGTTCTTACTTACAACTTCAGAATGATATTAGATATTTTCTTAAAAGAATTACAAATGTGTACCTAAATCACCTTTCACCTAAGATGTGATGAACAAAAATTACTGAAAACAATTTATAAGCATATATAAATTATTTTATTGATTTCATGAGTATGGTTTTAATATTCATGGCTTGCACAGCTCAGAACTAGCTTTAACTCTTAGTAGCTGTGTCAGCGACTTTGTCCGTGCAGAATAGTTATTTTGGTCATATTTTGTTCTTGCAAATCTCCACATCTTTATAAATGCTGTTTCCCACGACTAATCATTCTTTCTACATATCCTTAACCGTTTTCGTACGCAACGGAAAGCCTCCGAGTTTTTTTATTCTTCCCTGTTTTTTCCACATTTTCCCGTTTCGTTGCTCTTATTGGTCGCCGCTTGTTACATTGCCTAAAGGCTGCCTCGATGGTTCAAGACTCAAAAATATGTGCATGTTTTAAGTTTCTTAAAATAAACTTAATCCTTCCTTACTTTCTCCCGCCTGAGTCGAAATTTTTTTCAATTTATTTCCGATTTTTAAATAATAAAGATGTTAATAAATAATTTTTTTTTAATATTTACTCACAAGAAATCTTTTTATAAATAGGTAATATACTTCAATTGGCAAACAAATGTTTCTGAATTACTTGTACCTAAGATAGATAGAAAAAAAAAACAAATGTAATGCAAAGAATTATAATTAGAATATTTCGTCATGAGTCCAGCTCACTAATTGCTAAAAATATTAGTGTAGAATTCTTGGATATTACATGTTTTCTTTACGACTTTAGTGGCAAATTAATTTAACGTAAAGCCTTAATTGGTCAATAATAAACATTTAACTTTTACATGTATCCACATTGGCTTGAATTAAAAAGAAAATTGTTACATACAAAATTATATCACAAACTGTAACAATAAAATTAATCAGTCTTACATAAAATTGATTATTATTTATTATAAGAATAGAAAGAATGAAGGAAATATAAAGAAAATCTTAAAAATTAATATTCTGCCCAGTGCTGACACCAAATTGGAATTCATTGTCAGTTTGTTCTGGCTCGGCATTTGGGTCTGCTTCCTCACTGAAGTAGGTGTCCAGGATGTGTAGCGTCTTTTTGTAGATCTAGATTTTGATGAATAAACACTATTATAATCAAAGGTAGCTGATATAGGAGGCTAAAGTAACAAATATATTACGCTAGCTGCTAGAGGCCGAGTGGAAAAACATTTTTTTTTTCAATAAGAAGGAAAATAAAAATGATATGATGATAACTCAGATGAAAATTGAATTTGTACAATTTTCGGTCACTGTGCTCTTGTAGATTAATACTATAGTCTATAAAAATATAAATAACTCAAGTCATAAAGTTGCAGTTAGGCTACTCTGCCTCAAGCTACCTCATATTATATAATATTCAAATAGTGTAAACTTAACTGAAATCTAAATCCATACAAGATTGTGTGATGTCATTTATTCATTATAAGTTTAATAAAATATACCTGCTCATTTTCATGCCCCTGTAGAGCTTCAATTCTATCTAAGGCACCTATTTCTTCTAAATTAATGCACAAAGGCTCGACTTGACCAAACTTAGCGGCAGCCTGGAAATACAAAATATATTAGTTATTGTTTACAGCTGCTACGAAGCATCCAAAACGTCGGGTTGTAATATAAAGATATGCAGAATAATTTAATAACTAGGTACATTTGAGCGGTAACTCTTTCTACTAGGATTTTTTTCTCAAATATGTACTCTCCTTGTCTAGACTATAATTTAATAAGAATATTCAATATAGAATTTGTAAACGAGAAGCAAGTCTGTAAAAAAAAAACAGAATATGTTCTTTGAAAACAATAATACTTCAACTTATCCATATTTCAAATAAATTATCAACGTCTGTCTTACTTGCAATAGATGTGTTAAGCCATCCAACACAACTACAATAGCTTTGTGGTCTGGTGATCCAAGTAAAGCACAGTACGGCTCCAAGAAACCAGTCTGGACCAACGCGTCCAATTGAGCTGGTGTTCCACCTAAGCACAAGTTGGTGAGCGCCCAGGCTGCTTCTTTTTGACACCTGGAAATCACATTATTGTCAAATCTTTTATTTGTTGATATAAACCGTAGATCAATAAAGAATGATATATAGAATTGTCTGTGGTTTATGCGAATAGTATTTTGAAATACTTTTCGCGAATAGTATTTTGAAACAGTTTGAAATAAATCACTTTTAACGGTTTAAAACGCAAAATGTATTAATTTATTTCAAATATATCTAACTACGGTCCTAAGTGGACAATGGACAGGATCAACACAACACCTAGGCCAGTCCCAGGAAAATATTAATAGAAGAATCCCTAGAAACAGCTTGTAAATGATACACAAATTGGTGGCAAATAAATACACTGTTTTCTTTCTTACCACAATGCACATTCAACTTGGTACTCACTTAACATCATCCACAGTAAGCACCTTGACAAGTGTATACAAGATGCCACTATTGATAGCCTGCTGAATTTGATCGCTAGTACCAGCTAGCACGTTGCTGACAGCCCATGCAGCTTCCTTCACTAAAGTTGCCTTTCCGCATTGCAGCAGTGCTGCTATGTGGCTGAGGCAGCCTTCTTGGAGACATCTTTCGGTCTGTAATAGATTTATAAAATTACACCCGTTTATTAACTAAAGTAATATATAAAGTTGAAGAGTTTGTTTTGTTTGAACACGATTCTCTCAGGAACCGTAGTTCCTGTAACTGTAACGGAAGTTCCAAGAAAATATGTTTGTGTTGGTTAGAGTGTGAAAATTATTCATCTTTGTGGGTTGTTAAAGCCCTTTGTTTTGATATCAAATATTTGTTCATATACAACATTACATAATGCATGAAGAAAAAAAAATTTTGAAAATTATGAACTTACCTGTTGGTCCGAACCAGTAAGCATATTACCAACAGCCCTTAGTGCCGGTGTACGAACAGATGGCGAAGAATGTTGCAGAAGTTTGATGAGGCGAGTCAGTAATCGGGGGGTGTTCTGGACCTCCTCTATGCGCTCGTTGGGCCCATCAGTCAAATAAGATAGTGCCCAGCAGGTGTCCGCTGTAAAATCAAAGAAGAATTGACATGAGCGGGGCTCGAATAAGTGATATAGAGATACTGAGGCGTTATTTTGCCACAATTTAAAAAAATATAAAATGTTTGAAAACTTTAATTCTTTTACATGTTATTGCACATGGAGTCACTATATGATTAAATGTCAAAATGCTGTCTATTATAATTTAAACAAAAATTTATCTTGTAGGATGCAAGGATGCACAGACTTATTAAGAATAGGGCATGGGAAATATGACTCATGGTTTATTTGTACCACCAGAGGACAAGTCTTACGGCCTCATGGTCTAACAATTTATGATAGTCTTAAAACTCAAATCCAGGGTCTTTTGACGCTTGATGAGTTCACAAATTTTATCTACTCACCTAAAACTTCTGGATCTACAACATCTAGTAATTCAGCTACATACGGCAGAGCAGGAGCCACGAGCTCAAAATCAACTATTGGGTTTTTATTTCTGTAACACGAGAAGGACATGTAAATAATAGAAATCTAAGTATTTAAAAAATAAATCATAGGAAATATTTGTAGGTAGATTTCCGGATATTTGAAGTCAAAGTAGGTAGACATCATCTTGTCTTGATGTCGACTGGGGTATGTACTTCAGTATAGGTACATAGTAAACCCATTATCTGTGTGCTTCATAAAAAACCCATATATCAGTAAAAAAATTGACTTGGAAAAAAGAATCTAATTTGAAACCAAGATGTTTCAGGGTTATAAGTATATTATGACACAGAAAAGACACAATACATTCCTACATGTATGGTGTACCATGATGGCATTCTTACCTGCAGAAGTTGCTCAGTGTCCAAGCAGCCGTCCTCAATTGTGTTTCAGGACAGTCAGTTTGCAAATGAGGAAGCAAAGCCGGGAGGGCGCCATGGGACAGCACTATGTCTCTGGGCTCGGCCCCATCACCAGCTATATTTCCAAGAGCCCAGGCACTCTGTTCAGCTACGGCACCTCTTTGGCCAAGAAGTGCCACCAGCTTTGGTATTGCTCCGCTCTGCAACAGAAATATCATTTAGCACCTATACAAAACATTATAAGAAAAAAAATATTCTACAGGGTAGAGGTTAAACATTTCTGTGTCTGTTTCGCTGAACGATTTTAGTAATAGTAATTAGAGTGTAGCTTTTTGCTCCACTAAAACAATTAGTAGTCCCAGGATTCGAAAGCAGTACTTCTTGTACTTAAGCATTGAGTTACTTTTAAATTTCATTAATTAACTTTATCTGTCTATAACGCAAATTATTAGTTAACATATTTGAAAATGATTTTTAACTCCGGCCCGACGTTTCAGATGCTCTGCAGTAGCCGTGGTCACGGGGAGAGTAACTAATTTATCGCGTTTTAAACCGTTTAACTGTTTAACCTAAATGTGTACTACTCGCGTAAACTATAGACAGTATTTAAGTTTAATATATTTCGCGCATGAAAGTGTTAGTGTTTTATTTAACTTGGACTACTCGCATTTACATATTTGTTGTCCCTTATTTTGAGCCAGCATGCTGGGGTCATACCCCTTACGCTTAAAAATATTGTTTCTTTTGTTTTAGTTATAAATACTTACGTCTACAACTGCCATGGTGTGATCGTGAGTACCGGAGGCAATGTTGGTTATAGCCCAAGTAGCTTCAAATTGTAGATCGTGACTGTAAAAATAAGAAACATTATCATTCTAGGGTATGGAACAAATATTGTTAATTTTGGAAACATTGTAACATCATAATCATGTATTTGGGGGTTGTTTGGTTCAATATAATTAAGAACAATCACCTGAACATCTATACTGATATATAAAGTTGAAGAGTTTGTTCGTTTGTTTCAACGCGCTAATCTCGGGAACTACTAGTTCGAATTTAAAAACATCGAGGACTATAAAACATAGCGCTGTGAATAATATGAACGAAAAAACAGCGGGAAATGTGAAAATTATTCTTACTTGTGGGTTTCCATTGCGTACGCTGCGAAAACGGTTAAGATACCCAAAAAATATGTATGAAAGAATGATTCCTCTTTAAATGATCTTAAAAAAGGACTATATATGTCTATGTTTTAAGATTAACTTGCAAGAACAACGGGACGTGGACGATGTTGTAACAGCTTAAATTTATTGATTGATTAGAGGTGTAAAAAAAATTGATATCCAAAATAATTATTCTAAGCGTACGAAGTCGCGTGACTCAGCTAGTAACTGATAAAGTAATATTCAATCCTGTATCAATAATATTTCCAACTCTATTTTACCTATATGAAATTTGAAATTTTTGTTTCACTGGGATTCAAGTCAAGGATTTCTAGTGTAGTGATTTATATTAACCTATGATGAAGTCAAAATTCAAAAAGTATAGGACTTGAAATAGACAACAACTACAATAAGGGCTATGATGCTTTCCTGGAATGCAGAACCTTTCTCAACATAATCTCTTACAAAGGTAATCTCACCAGTCATCTCTATCCAGTGCGTTAACTAAAGGTTTCAAAGCTCCGGCTTGCAGCATCATCGTGATTGGCGGATTCTGTTCTTTGGACAATATTCTACGAGCTGCTCTGGCTGCCGTCACCATGATCGAAACATCAGATGATTTCAACCCTTTGAAAGAAAATGTTTTACAATATAATATAAAGTAAAATCTAATAGAGAAATTTAAAAACTACCTTCAAATTTTTCTAGCATATTCAATTTTATATAGTGAAAATTATTGTTTTTTAATACATATGAAGGTTTTAGAGGCCAAGAAATGCTTCTAATGTCAGTTATTAACAATTGGATTGTTTATTTAGTTGGTATTGACAAAACCTGGAAATCTTATATTATTAGTATTAGTACGTAGCACAGGGATGACTGTACTTTAAATATACCTTTGACAATCTCAGACGCCGTCATGGGCTGTGGGGCTTCCTGACCTTCCTCCCCATCTGATGACATAACCCGCCTCTTAAGAAGTTGCTCATCTCGAGCTTGCTTGCGAAGGTTGATGCTAAGTTCTGCCCTTTTGCGACGAAGGTCCTAGGTAAGGCAAAATATTAGAAATAGACAAAATATATAAAAAATGAAATAACATTAGGACAATTTTTTTAAGTTTCACAAATCATCACGTTTACTAAATTGAAATTATGACAAAAAATCAATTATATCCAAGTACTAGAACTCTTTCAGTAATATATATACTAAGGAATTCTAAATGTATTTTGTTAATATTTTTTTACAAAATAAATTTGCGGGTAGTTAATTACTTTAGATTAACTGTAAGGATAGAACATTGCTGGATTTCATAATAATATGGACTAAATTCTATCCTTTATCAAACTTAATAATCAATCTACCATTTCAACTCTAGGACTCTATTGTACACTAGGATCTAGAACTATTAAAATAAATGTAACTTAGCGAAGAAAGAAAAGGTTATATAAATAAGGTATCTATACTTTATTAGTTAATAAACCCTTATAAAAACTATCTACCTACACAATGCTATAGGTAAGTATTATAAAAATTGCATTATGTTAAATTCAATATTTTAGCCACTATTCCATCAAACTGTAAAATATTAATTACAAAGGTACTTTTTAAAAAGTTTTACGCATGTTTAAATAAATTTATGTGATGTGGTGTAAAAAAAAATTCAACAAAGAAGTTACTTACGTTAACTCCATGACCAGTGTTCTTGTAGGCAGCAAGTCTCGAGGTGTGAGTTTTTTCCGACATTATTAATAATTTCAAATAAAAAGTAGTAAAAGTTAAAAATAATCGTAGAGATGAACTTGCGGCGACAACAGGTGATCTAACGGAAATAATTCAAACCGAATGATTCAAACTTATAAACACTGACAGATGACGCGTCTCGAAATCTTGACAGCTCTCTTCAGTTTTATCAAATACTTCTGTACTACTGTTTTTTTATATTACTCAATCATGTGCTTAGTTTAAGAACCATACAACTAATAAAGTGGTATATATTTTTATAGTTTCTTAACATTTTTTAAAAATTCAAACAGTCTTTAATTAAACAACCACAGGTAAACCCATCATGAATTGTATTAATGTCATATGATTGACATCGCAGTCACTTTAATTGACAGATATAGTTTAATTTGTAGAATGTAGGTGGCGTTGGTGTGGCTAATTGGCAACAGTCAGTCTAAAATCCTAACATTTATCAGTTTAAATTATTCAGCCGAACCATTTTTTCTTTACTCTAGAATAAACGACCCAAGGTTAACTTTGAAACAAAACTTTGAGTTAGTCACAATTTTTTCCATCTTTTAAATATTAATACCTAATTATGTTAATAATTATAACAATGTGTATATTTTTAGTCACATTCCTAGATAGCATTTTGCGATATTTATAGCTCTAATAATAAAACATTTCAATGATAAATTATGTACTTTTCAAACTTGTTTTTTCGTAAGTAGAATTCAAAATTAACGAAGAAAACCTTACTAAGTTGTTGCACCTAGAAAAGAAAAGTGTACATGTAGTACGACATCTTAACTTCATTATTAATCAAACTGCATTGCGACTGCAGAGTGCTAGGTACGAAATTAATGCAGCGGAGACGTAGATCCCAAAAAAGAAAATGCTGAATAAAATAAAAAGAAGTAGGAGGCGCTTTTACGACAGATATTGAGTGGTGGGACGGGCTTAGCATGCGCAGAAACTTTGTCTCACAATAATATTAGCTAACAGAACACTTAACCTGTTTGGTGAACAACACATACATTATTTAGCCTCATAATAGAGAATGACTGTAAATTAACGTTATTAAAACAAGTTTACAAGCTATCGTGGCTATATAATTACTCAAAACGTTACGCCGCTGGGCGTGACATCACAAATCAGTCCGGTCGGTTTGAAAACAACATGTAGATTAGCTATCTTTCTCTACTGTACAAAGTTAGACAGAGAGGGCCGACTGAACAGGCTGGCGATGATCGTATTCTGTCGAGGGTGTCGCCATTTTCATTTTGACGAATATTGACAGCACGGCAGACAGACAGTGGCGCGGTGGTCGACGCAGCGTCTGCCAGACTATTTTTATTTTGATAGTGAATGATTTAGTGACTTGTTAAATTTACAAAGTGATTTCCGACGTTTTATTTCACAAATTATAACGAGAAATCCGCCAATACACCTACCAAAGATACCTAATTATAAGTTTGCAGTGGTAACCTTCTTTTTTACTTAGTGTTTTTGAGATGCAAGACATGATCGATATGTGCAAGATGTACAGATGACTCTACTGTAATATTTCTTCTGGCCGTTTTATTCTGGTACGTATTTAATTTGTCTATCCTCAAAAATTACGCAAGGAGTTATTTTAGTGTTATCGTAATGTTCTGATTAATAATTCACAACCGATAGATAATAGTTATATATCTTTTAGATCGGCTGTCATTTATCTGTTGTACGATTTATTTTGATACGATTGTGTATTCTTTGTTGCGGTAGCTCCAGTTTGTTTACGAACTGTCACGGGCAGTACGGCCTAAGATATATAGCCTGGGTTGGCGACTATGCGTGAATGTATCACGACGGAATTTCGACCTTATTTCTTTATATGTAAGACCCAAAGTAAGGATTGCTTTAGAGTGATAACAACCGTGGAATTAATTTATCACACGCCGCTCTTGACAAGTTGAAAACATAAATTCGACCTTGGCAAGCCACGTGGTTTAATATGCTTTCTTTTTACGACCTTTTTCGATTTTGTATCGTTGTTATATTGTATTATTCGGTTAATGATGATTTATACTAGTTTCAGCATATTAATGTGCTACTTTAGATAATCATAATCGATAATTTGTCGATCGATGTTTTCGATACTGCTTTTATTAATTATGATATCTTGTCATTTGCATCCAAAGCTATATCAATTTATCTGCGAATTAAAAAAATAATTAATTAATTTTGAATACATTTTATTTCAATTCAAAAAACAATTGATTCCACACCAAAGAATATTATAACAATACAGAAATTATACAATTAAGTATATAGATAAAAAACAATTTTTACACAATTTCTTTAATAAAAAGAGATGATTTGAAATCCCTGTGTAGTATTTTTGGTGAGTTTGTTAATAAATTAAAATGTCTGTACATACATTATCTAAAAAGGTTGCCTCCGGATGTATGCTAGCTGTAACTCTATCTATGTTTATCAACTCAGCGCATTCTTTTAAAGTATTTAAAGAATCGGTCTGTCTTGGAACACAATAAACCAATCCACCAATAGATATGGCTGGTGAATAATATTTGAAAACAAATTACAATAACAGTAAGTGTAACGCTTTTATTTGATAAGATTATAATCCTTTTCAAACACTGATAAGGAAAGCAAATCTTTTCTAGCTATTGTGTGGCAGTAGTCTGTTTAGTTGGAATATTGAGATTAAGGCGGGTTTTACGACTACCGGTAGATCCCAATTAATGTACATATAATTTAAAGGTTCCTTTAATAAATTGTTTTAAAAGTTTTCATTAAAATAGTCATCTAAATAAATAACCGCTCATATGTATTTGCTATGATATAACAAAACAATTACTTACTTAATTTTTTTTTTTATTCATAAGAATAAAATCTATTTAAGTGCTAACTTTTAATCCATGTATTAAGTCTTACAAACATGGTTTTAACAAATTCTTTACATTACTTGTATTATTAAAAAGTTATTTACAAAATTATTAGAGAGACGTGTATTATTTTGTTGCTTGCATTTCTTGTATACTTATTACTGTTTTATTTAGCATATAGTTTCTATATAAGTGTAGTCTTTCATCAATGAGAAGAAGTGTTATAGAAAATGAATAGGTTTTGCACTGGGACAACGGGTAAAACGATCAGGAGTTGATGCGGACTGATTGCCTCGGTTGTTTATCCATATCACAAATAAAAATGTATAATAGGCTAAAGCAGTAAGTTACCACACAGACTATCTAGATTAAAAGAAGAAATTCAATCTAATTATGAAATTTTAAATATACTTAAACAAAAACCAGTAATTCAATGAATTTTCAATATCAAATCAGTACATACTAAATTAAATCATTGAAAAACCTTAACTACGCGTAATTTTTGAACGTAATTACGGTTTTACGCTAATATACAATGTAGAGGCAATTCCTGACTAGGTATATACCTATATTGTTGAGTAAATCTGATAGATATATGCTTCTATACATTTAAATTATATAAATTTTACTAATATTTACAGCTAGTTACAAAATTTTAATTTATATTTGAGTCTTATTGCTAATAATAAGAGAAGTCATAATTTATTTTTATAGTAATGTGAATTCAAACAACTTGTTTTTAAATGCGTCTGTTTTGTTAATGTATTATGTATCTATGTACGTTTATATATAAATTATTGCGTATTTACAGAAACCCGTAAAAATGATTTGTATGTGTTGCATTTTTGTCTACACAAACTACATTAGACCTTTTTATATTTCCTTTCGAATTCACTTTAAACCGATAAAAAGACTAAAAAGCAAATATAGTGTTAAATAAAACTGTTGCTGAAAGTAATTTAATTAAAAGTTTTTGAGATATATTTCGACGAATTGGCTGGCGTAATGTGTTTTCAAGTTTAAAAGGACAATGAACTTAAATCCCTTTACAAATTGTATTTGTTTTAGACTAGATATTCGGCTGTTGACATTGAGCGAGGTGAGAGCGAAGAATAAGGGTGGCGTAGACACGGTATTTTTAGAGAAATATGTTGAAAATATATTAAGTTTAGGTGCGTAAATAATAAATACTGGTTACTATTTCATTTTATTTGATCGGATGGTTCCGATCCTGCAAAGCATCCGAAACGTATCGGGCCGTATAGTATAAAAATCATTTTCAAATAAGTTTAACTAATATATCTCGTTTTAAACCGTTAAAGTGTTTTATTTAAATTAATCCATGTAGGTAAATCCATACAGGGACATAGATTTTATTGTAGGGCTAGGCTATTTCTTCTTCTATAAAGTGATTTCCATTCTTGTCTTTAGGTACTCTGTAATTAAAAATAAATACAATAGAAGTTGAAATTTATAAGTATTTCAAATAGTATTATTTTATAACGTCTTTTTTAAAGGCTCGTTGGTATAATGGTAGCGATTTATGGCTAATAATCAACGGATTGAGAGTTCAACCCCCTAACATTTTTTAAATAAATTTATATATTTTTTTAAACACGTTAAACTGGATATTAAATGATTGGTAGGAATATCGAAATTCCGTCCGGGTCCACAGTTCAAAAAAAAACCCCCCGGGGGGGATTTTTCCCCCCCCCGTTTTCCCCCCCTTTTTTTCTCCCTCTTTTATAAAATCATCAATGTATGAATTGCAGGTGTTTTAAAAGTCCCCAGACCCGTCTGTAAGTAATCTAATATCCCCAAAAGAATTTCTACCGAAAAATGTCGGTGAAAGAAAATTTTTATATTAAAGCCTCGACATTTTGTCACTTGTGCAAGATTCTGAACGAAATTTTACACAGCTCCCGCGAAAAAACCGCTTTGACAGCGAAAAAGGCGGGAACGGCCGCCATTATGGCCAAGTGACGCTCCGGCCGGAGCGGTATAATTGGCAAGCGGAGTTATGGACAGATTTTAATAACGCACCGCCACAAGTTATTGCTTGTTCGTAGTATTTATTTGGAGATAAAACCGCATTGCTGCCACTTAACATGCGACAGGGGGGAAGTAATT